CCGCCACCCCGGACACCGCCCCTGTCGCTGCCGTCACCCTTCCCACCACCGCAACCCCCACCTGCAGGAGCCCCTCGGGGTTGGGGTGTCCCCCGCGGCCCTGACCCCGCTGTCCTTGTCAGTCCGAGGGCAAACCCAGGCGATGGGTTTGCATCCCTGTGCACCCACCGAGCTGGCACCCAGCACCCACCAGGGACCCCCCCACGCCTGGCGGGGGTCCTTGCTCTGAGTGGGGGGATGGAATGTGCTGGAGCCTTCATGTGCCACGAGCTGGAACTTTTTAGGCATCAAAAACCCCGGCACAGAAATCCCCGGTGCCGTGTGCCAGGGCCGGCAGCTGGGCCGGGCTGTTTCCTCCTCCCACCCTGTTTATACCGAGAACTCTTGACCCCTTTTATAAGCTGAATATTTCAAAACACTCGGCCCACGCTGCGGAAACCCCCCCGCTCTCCCTCACCTCCCCTTTCCTGCCCCCCCCACCGTCCCAAACTGGACATAAAAGGGAGCCCCAGCCCCAGCCCTGGGTGAGCAGCGTCCACCCCGGAGCCCCCGCGCACCCCAAAACTCCCCCACACCCCCAGCTGGGCAGAGGCACCGCCGGGCTCCTCCACAGCCATGGGGCTGAGTCCTGCTCCCGTCCTTGTTCTTGTGCTGCTGCTGCTCGGGGCCACAGTGAACGGTGAGTGCACCCCCCTGAACCCCGGGATGGGGCCAGGGCAGCGACATCCCCAGCATGGGGGATTCCTGCCCAGCCCAATTCCTGCCTCCACCTGCAGCCAGGTGCTGCCACAACCCACAGGGTCCAGGAACCCAGCAGGGTACCACGGGAGTGACACTGCCCTGTGCCCCTCACCTGACAGGGCCTCTCTCCCGCAGGGCAGCCTCGGGGACGGATCCTGGGGGGCTACGAGGCCAGGCCCCACCTGAAGCCGTTCATGGCCTCCCTGCAGCTGGACGGGCAGCACGTCTGTGGGGGCTTCCTCGTCGCCGAGCAGTGGGTGCTGAGCGCTGCCCACTGCACCGAGGAGACGTGAGTGGGGGGGTCAGCTCCGTGCCTGGGGGGCTGCTGGACTAGGGCCAAATCCCACTCTGCAGCCCTGACTCTGGTGTGGGAGCATGGGGCTCTGATCCCATCTGCAGTGAGGGCTGAGCAGGGGCTGCAGGGGCTCCTGGTACCCCTGGGGGGCTCTCTAGTCCCCCAAGCACCCCATTTCCATGGCTTGGTGCAGCAATACTCCCACTCTGTTTGTCCCACACTCTGACTCTCTTCCAGGGGTGACAAACTCTTCCAGGTGCTGCTGGGGGCACACTCGCTCACGGAGCAGGAGCCCCACAAACGCCTGTACCGGGTGCGTGCCCAGTTCCCCCACCCCGGCAGCAACAAGCACAACAACAAGGACGACCTCCTCCTCCTCCAGGTGGGCTTGGGGCCACTGGCACCCTCCTCCCCACTCCTGCAAATCCCACTGTCCCTTGAGACCCTCCAGGGTCACTGACTGAGGCCAGAGAAAACCCTCAAGGTCGTGCTGGGCCTGATTCCCCTGTGCCTTCCTCCCTGTCCCATGGGACTATCCCTGCTTCCCCCACAAAAGACCTTTGAGCTGCATCCAAATGCCTCCATCTTCCTTGTGGCTCCAGCTCTGGTCTCTGCCTGCACCCTGGGGCTCTGGTCAGGAGGCAAAGCCCTGAGCGTGGCCAGGCCTGGGGTGATCCCGTGTCAGGGCTGGGCTTGCCCTGCCTTGCTGGATCGTGGCCCAGCTGCCCCCCTGAGCCGGGTCCCCTCTTGCTTGGTGGCAGCTGGAGGAGAAGGCGGAGCTGAACGCGGACGTGCAGGTGCTGCCGTTCCAGCGGGAGGACAGGGACGTGGCACCCGACACGGTGTGCGAGGTGGCGGGATGGGGCATCACCAGCCACAGCGGGAGGAGGCCCGACAGGCTGCAGCAGGTGGAGCGGCCGGTGATCAGCCGCGACGTCTGCAACCACCGCACGCGCCACGACGGCACCGTCACCAACAGCATGATGTGCACCGACTCCCGCAGGAAGGACACCTGCAAGGTACCGCCTGCCTCCCGTGGGCCCGTGGCTGGACCCTCGGGCTGGGGCTGCCAACCACCCCGGGGGGGCCGGGAGAGGGCAAGGCAGGAGAATTTTCACAGCCTGGGAGAGGTCGGGGCAGCGGGGCAGGAGGAGGTCACGTCCCTGAGGTGAGGGGGCTCCGTACCCTGTGCTGGCCACTGCAGGGCAGCCCAAAGGAGCCTGGAGACAACAATCAGGGATGGGAGATGGGCTGGGGCATCCCAGCAAACCCTTGGCCGTGCTGACGAGCCTTGGTCCTGCAGGGGGACTCTGGTGGCCCCCTGGTCTGCGGCGGGGTGGCCGAGGCAGTGGTCACCGCCGGCTCCCGCATCTGCGGCAACTACAAGAAACCGGCCATCTACACCCGCCTGGCCCCGTACGCGGCCTGGATCGACGGCGTCATGGCCTCCGCCGATGGGGAGGGGGACACTCGCTGAGGGGACCCCGGGGACCTGCTCCACGCCACGGCTTGCTGCTGCCAGCACGGCCAGAGCACCCACGCCGCTGCCCCGCTGCGCACCAGGGGCTCCCACTGCCCACCCTGCTCCCAGAGCGTCCCCCCACAGCAGGAGGGGACGGCAGGGAACCAGGGAAGGGGGTCCCTGGGTCCCTACTTGCAAAGCACAGGGCCCAGCTGGGGGAGGATGGGGGGTCACAGTCCCCCACAGGCTTCGCTGAAGGTGCCCGAAACGCTGCCCACGATCGCTGCAATAAAGTGATGATGACTTCTGCAGAGCTGGGAGTCTGTGCAGGAGCCCCACTGAGGGGAGCTGTACATGGGGTGGGAGATGTGGAGACTGAGCCCCTGGGGACTGTGTGGCCTCGGGTGGGAGCAGGGGACACATCCTGCGGTGTGGCCATGATAAGGTCCACAGCCGGGACCTCCTGCAGGGTCATTGTGTGAACACTTGGGAAAGCAGAACCTGCCTGTTGCTGAGACAGCAGCAGTTGCTCCAGCTCCTACAGAGGGATCTGTGCTGGGACCCAACAGGACTCTCACTGGGTCCCTCTTGCCCCAGGAGCCAAGAAGCAGGGTGAGGCACAGCCCCATCTTCCCACCATAACCCTGGTCCTTGTCTCGTGTCCCCCCACAGACCCTCATTCTCCAAACTCCCCAGTCCTTGGAGGGAGCGGGGCCAAGGCACAAGGGATGGGAGCGGGGCAGCAGCATGGCCCAGGGCACTGCCAGACCCTTCCAGTCCCATCCTGGGAGCTCCATGGTGGGTGGGACATGAATGTCTGCTCCCCTGCTCCATCCCCCTGCTCCATCCCAGCGCTGTGCTGCTGCTCCCTGTTCCCAATCAAATATTAAATAACCCCAAACCTGTTCTCTGAGAAAAAGAGACTCACAAAGGGCCTTGGTTGAGTTTTACTTACAGGGGAAAAGAGCCTTAACAAGGTGCAGTTTCCTAATTAGACATTTGATTGTCCTTAATAACCAGCAGAACAGCGAGGGGGAAAGCTCTGTACAGCTCGTCCAGCTCTGTGCAGTGAAACATTCACTGGAGTTTGGGGAATGAGCTCTCTGTCACCAGCTCCAGTTCTCAATAATAATGAAAATGCACTTCCAGAAGGAATGTACAAAAACTGGCTCACTGCTTCCCTCGAAGGGTGTGTGAGGACATGAAATTGGCTGGTTGGGACGCAGGGCAGCTGGAGGCTCCAGGCTCTCCTCCCTAAGAGCTGAAGGACCCTGGGGAACAGAGCAGGCCCAAGTCACCCACCTGACCCCCAAAGGGCTGGGGCTCCACAGGCACAGCCTCACTGCCACCAGGAGGTTGTGATTTCCTGTCCAGTGCAGCAGCAGCCAGGGGGGCCACAGGAGGGCAAAAGTCCAACAGGATTTTCGGCTGCATCACAAACGCTCCTCCTCCGACCCGCTCAAGTGTCTGGCTTTGCCCGAAGCTGGAGACTTACCCAACCCCAAGGATTTCATGTTTTCTACTCACATGTCCATAAGGATGTGGCACTGACCTTGAAAACATCCATTTCCCCTGCCCCTGGCAGCTCTTTTCCTGACAGATGCACTGGGGGCTTTCCCATGGCTCCCTTGCCCTGGCCCTGCACTGGGTGGCCACGTCACACCACAGAAACAAACCACATGTTCTGTACAAAATTATGGGAGTTTTTATTTACAACAGCAAGAGCCAAAGGGGGGTTCATTCCAGGCAGCAGCACTCGTGTTCCTGCTCTGATCCAACACTGATGGGCACGCAGGCGACAGCTCCTGTCAGAGGGGCAGATCTGCTCAAGGCCCAGGAGTGCCCAGCCCACGTGGCACTTCTCAAGCAGCCAGAAACACAGGATGGATATGAAGAACCAGGTGTTTGTTCGCCACACTTGGGACCTTCTTCCCCCCCAGCCACCCCGTCATCTCTCTCTGCCCAGAGTGCTCTGCCAGCACAGCCCTGACACACAGCCAGGCTCTCCCCTCCCAGGCCCCAAATGATGGGGAAACCCCTGGCATTGCCTTCCAGCTCTTCCCTGGAAAAGAAGAGCTCCCTCCACTCCGTTTTCCAGCACAGCTCAGCAAGGCAGAGTGGCAGCAGTTTGTTCCAGGAGAGGAGCTGCTGTGCCCTTGTCACGACCCCTCCATGGAGGGAGCCCCACAGAGCTCTTGGCCCCCACTGTGCCCCAGGAAGGGCTCAGGAGTAGCTGAGGGGCATCTTCCTCCACAGCCCCCCGCACAGGCAGTTCTTGATCCAGCGCTGCTCCCACTGCTTCACCGCTGTCACCTTGTTGGGCGACTTCAGCATCGTCACGCAGCCGCACCTGGGGGGACACGGGGGGTGCAGCCAGCCCAGGGGGGCCCAAGAGCCAGGGCTGCTGGGCTGCTGCACGGATCACGCAGGAGTGGGGCCACCCACGGGGGAAACCAGCTCCTGTCATCTGCAGGTGACTCTTGAGAGCACCAAAACCAGCTGAAACCAGCGAGCAACAATCCTGCTGAGGGCCCTCCTGGAGCCGGAGCCGGAGCCTGGCGCGGAACAGCCCCAGCTGCTGTTTACACATGGAACAGTCATCTCACAAAAATGATGTGCTACAGAGGCTTTCTATTAAACCCAGTAATTAAAGCTAATTCAATCACATGACTAGATGGATGTTTTTTCCCTGAGCCATTATCCTGAAATCCAGGCTCTCCCGTGAGGGTGGATGAGGAGGCCAGCATGAAATGCGAGCCTGGGTGGAAAGATGACCCCAAACTGGGAGCAGGGGTGCTGGGTGGTTCCTACCCCAACCCCACTCCAAGCACACAGGTGCTTTAAGGACCAGCCCTGCAGAACTGGGAATCATATAAAGGAGTCACTATAGAGACTCCTCCAGGCCCGATTCTGGCTCCACTGACCAGATTGTTAATTTATGAACTTAAATCTCATCTGTTTGATTTTTAACCCAAGGGCCAGGCCACAGAGAGGCCACTCTCTGATAATGCCCTGCGTGTCCCAGGTTGGGGACATCTTAGCCACAGCCATAACCAGCCTCAGAGAGCTCCTGAAGGACACGCAGGACTGTGAGTGCTGCCCAAGCCCAGGTGCACAGAGCAGTGACACCTGTGTCACTCACCTGGTGCACAGAGCAGTGACACCTGTGTCACTCACCTGGTGCACAGAGCAGTGACACCTGTGTCACTCACCTGGTGCAGGACTTGCACTCCTCCGTCGGGTACGCGCCCAGGTGCAGCCGCCTCAGGTGGTCAATTTTGGGCTGTCCGGGGGCCCTGGGGAGGGAAAGCAGGACTTGCCCAGTGTCACTTTCCACAGGCAGCTCCCAGGACAGGGAGCTGCATTTGGATTCGAGCAGAGAGGATAAACTGCTCTTGGGTCAATCCAGCAAGAGGACAAGTCAAACCCCCAGGTGTCCCAAACCACAGAGCTGCCAAGAGACCGCATCGCCTGCAACACCCCTTCTCACCACAGCAGCCACTCGTTCCACATGTCTGTACCTGACAAAGGCATCGAACTGGGAAGAGACAGTGTGGCCAACGAGCCCAGGAGCCTTCCCGAACTGCAGCCGGACCAGCTGCTTGTTCTGCAGCTTGCTGATGATGCCGTCGTTGATGGGCAGCCAGTCGATGTTGGGAATGAGCAGCTGGCTGGGCAGGAGGCAGCACTCGTCGATCAGGGCATCGTCAGGCTCCGTGATGTGATTTTCCTCACGACCTGTATGGAAAATGAAGCAAAGAACCAACGACACTTTTACAATCCTGCTTCAGGGCTCCAGAGAGCTGCATGCACCCTCCTCCTCCACTGCCAAGACAGCCCGGAAAACAATAACCCTGGCAGCTGCACCTGCCCTTTCCGAAGGCACCAGACCCCCTTGGAGTCACGTCCCACAGTCAGTCCCTGCACGCACCAGCCCCACCGAGGCAAGAATTACTGTTCAGGGAACTGGTCACACTCACAGCACAGCCAGAGCTTGGTCAGCAGCCGGAAGAGCAGGGACATGCTGTCCTGGGTGTCGGAGGTCGCCGTGTACACGGGGAGGCAGCTGGGCTTCAGCAGCCCCCAGATGCGGATCACCACCATCAGCTCCCGGAACATGCCGAGGGACGCGCCGTCGCGCAGGAAGCTGTGCCCGGGGCGCACCGGGGAGCCCTGCCGAGGGACACGGCCTGGGGGGTCACACCCGCCCCTGCCAGTGCTCTGCACCCACACAGCTCCTGTTCCAGCAGCACTCACCCCACAGCACCCGCCGCCAGGGATGCGGGAGGCCTGCAGAGCTGCATCACTTTCCCTGAGTCCTGTGGGTACCGTGCTGCCGGTCACTGCGCCACCGGCCCCCAGTGGGCATGGGAGGGGCCCTTCCCTAATTCTGATGATCCTTACGCTCCTCCCCAGCACCTCCCACACCCCACAGGGACATGTGGTCCTGGTTAAAACTCCCTAACACTGCCCACGGGTGTTTGCACCCCCTCGGTCTGTTCCTGGGACTCCAGGTCTCACCTGGTTGGGAAGGCTGGCCAGGAGATAGAGCACAAAATCCCCCACCCACTGGATGAGCTGCTGCAGGGACTGCAATGTTGTCATCTCTAGGACAAACTCTTCTGTCTTCAGGTTAATCATCACCTTGTCAATGTCTGGAACAGAAGCGAGACATCACCTGGCTCAGGAAGATGGATCCAAACCTCAAATCCTCCCCAGGGAGGTCACCCTCCTCTTCCTCCTCAAACCCAGGAGTTGCTAAGACACTGTGGCACTTTGTGTTGAACGATGGGGAACAATCCAACCCCAAACGCTGGGAAGGCAGTGTGGGCTGCCGTGAGCTGTCAGTACCTACATCGGTGATCTTGGAGCAGATCTCGGTGAGCCGGTCCCCGGGGCTCTTGTCCGGGGTGTTGAGGAAGTGGGGGCGCAGCAGCGATTTCAGGGTGCAGCTGATGGCGATGAGGAAGAGCTTGGCGTGGTAGTCACACACACGGGCGATGGTGCTGGAGGAGAGTTTGCACAGCGACGCCTTCATGGCAACGATGCGTGTGGAGAGGACCTGGGCGACGGGGAGATGCAGCAAAAGGCACAGGGAAAGGCAGAATTAGCATAAGCTCATTAAAGCTGCTGCTGCTGCTGCTTTATTTTCTGCTCTCAATTTCTGCCACAGGAGTGACAGGAATAATGAACATTGTGCACGTGAATGCTGCTGTTCCCAGAATCTGCCAAAAATAGACTTCACCATCTCACCCGAAGTCTCCAACAGGTAGAGACCCACTGATGCCAGTGACAGAAAACACTGCTAACGTGGAAGCCCGTCCCAGCTCCAGCACTGCCTGAGCCAGGCACTCAGAGAGCACAGCAGAGCAGAGCCACCTGTCTCCCGAGGAGTGGCACTGGCTGCTCCCCACTCCCAGTCCCTGAGCCCCCCATGCCCACCCTCGAGGTGAGCCCAGAGCTCCTGCCCACCGACCTGCTGCAGGGCCGCGTTCTGGCGCATGTACTCCTCGTGCAGCTTCTCCACCAGGTTCTGGACCATGCTGGGCTGGACATGGAGCAGGATGTCCCACCAGTCGTAGCCGGTCACCATGCAGTACTCCAACAGGAACAGCAAGTGCCGCAGGGACATGTTCATGTCCAGCACGTGGCCCATGGAGGGGGAGATGCGGAGCATGCTGAGCTAAAGGGAGGAGGAAAAGGAACACTGGCATCAGGAATGACCTTGAAAACATCCAACAAAGCTACAGGGCCACTCCTGACACAGCAACAATTCCTGCAGCCATGGGGTACATCCCTTCCCATCTAACACGGATCGCACAGCTGGAATTCCCAGCATTTTCTGAGTGACCCACCATCACCCGGAGAGCCTGGATGAGAACTAACCCAGCTGTAAGAGAGCACCGACCTTGCCGTGACTGTCCACGCCAGCCAGGGCCAGCGAGGTCCAGGAGAGCTGCATGGCCTTGAAGTGCACGAGGGGCCCCGCGGTGCGCGGGCGCTTGAGGGACGGCTCGTCCACGGGGCGCTGCGAGGAGGAGCCGTAGAACACGGCCATCATCTGCAGGGACAGCCGGTGCACGATGTGCACGCTGCCGTCGTGGAAAGCCAGGGCCAGGCCTGGGGACAGGAGACAACCGAGGCTGAGCCAGCGGCTCCTCCCAGCACGGCACAGCCCTCGCCCGAAGCTCCGGCCACCACCGAAGTCCACGTGGCAACGAGGAGCAGTCAAAGGGCTGGGGGCTCCCAGGCCCCACGTCTGCATTTCACAGAGACACACCTCTTCCCACGGAAACACAACGGGATGGCTGGGAAGACATCACGCCTTTGAAAGTTCTGCATGAGCATTCCACAGGCTCTGCTCCCATTTTTACTTCAGGTACAGCCCAGAAGTTTAAGTTTCAGGCAAAAGCCATGTATTTAAGAGAAAGACAACAGGAATTCCTTACCCAACCCAGGAAAGAATTTGGTGTCATTTGCCACCTTCAGATCCGTGTTGGTCAGGGAGATGGGCAGCTTTGGCAGTGCCACGGCCGACACCCGGTCCAGGTCATTGGTGGCAGACAGGATCCTCCACTTCAGGATCATGGGCTGCTTGTCTCCCACTGGGGAAAATAAGCAAATAAGCGAGACATCTGTCCCTAAGAGATCAAATCCCCCGTTTCTGCCCACACTCTCCAACCAAGCAGGATCACAGACCAAGCACTTCATTCCACCAAACCAGTATATTCCTCATATACTTCCCATATGTTTCCCTTGTATTTCCCTATTTTTTTTCCTGAATTACACAAACAACTTGTTTTGCCAAATTTCCCCTCATGGAAGGCTCTGCTGGGGGTGATTAGAGAATCCTTATGCATAATAATCCTTTCTATTTCCCCAAACACACTGCCCTGACTGATTCTGTTCTATCTGAGATCGGGTGGAGCCCAGGCAGCCTGGGCAGGGGGTTAATCCAGCTCTGCTGCCCAACCCTGGCCCTTTGGGAGGCTCTGCTCACAGCAGGAAGGATGGCTGCAAAATTGACAACCAAACCACTTCCTGGAAACAGCAAGTCGCTGCCTACGACACAGATGAGTGAAGCATCTGACTGAGAACACCCGAAAATAAATGTGGGATTCTGGATAACCCCATATATGAGATAAGGGATGTGAGAACCTGTCCTGCCTTTCCCCTCAGACCACACTCCTGTTCTTAAGAGCACGTGGTGCAGACACTCACCCACAGGTGAGATCTGCTGGAAGATGTTGTTGACTGGCAGGCCCTCCTTCCGCAGGGACCAGCACTCCACGATGCTGTTGTTTTGGTTGGAAGCACAGAGCAGCACCTGCGGAACAGAGCCCCACTCATGAGCATCACAACGGGGAGGGCACTGCCCCTGCCATTCCCACCCTCTCTTCCCAGGGTCCTGCTCCCACTCAGGTCGTGCCCCGCCAGCAAAAAGCAGAGGATGGAATCAGTGGGAGGTAACGGTGAGGTCCCTAATTCCAGCTGCACCAAAACGGCAAGGGCAGTGCAGGACACGCTGGTCACCTTCAGAGCCCCTGGGGAAGCCAAGGTGGAGCAAACAGCCACCTCCTTGTTCCTCATCGAACTCCCACCCGCCTTAAGGGCAGCTGCTGACCTGCTCCGACATGTCCCGAGCCAGGAACTTGAGGTGAGTGATGGCCGGGTACTTGTCCTTGCGCGCGGGGTCCGTGGTGCAGCGCATGAACAGCGACGGCAGGATCTCGGTGTCGATCTTGCACTTCTCGTTCACCACACTGACACAGACCTTGTAGAACTGCACGGGGGAGGTGCTGCTGCCGTCCGACGTGGCCACCACGATGTTGCCCCCGCCCGTGAAGGCGACGTCGGCCAAGGCCACGCGGCAGCGCAGGCGGCACAGGCTCTCGGTGGCCGTCAGCACCTGCCCGTTGGGCTTGAGGAGGGACACGGTGACCAGCCCACTGATGGTCACGGCGATCCAGCCCTCCATGGGCTTCCCGCCGAACAGCGTCAGCGACGGGGAGAACTTCACCCTGGAAAACTTCTCGCCGAAGTTCGACGCTCCAGACTGCAACAAAGGTCAGCAAAACCGAGGCATTTGCACTCTGTGCCTGTGGAGCTCTCCTCGTGGGAGAGGGGCAGGATCTCTGCAGGACACCACAGGAATTAAAAGCAACAGAAGCAGAGAACTTGTGCTTGGCAGCCTCGGGCTTTGGGAGTCTGCAGTCAGATATGTTTCCAAACAGGGAGCTCATCTCCCTGTTGGTCCTGTGCCCAAACCCCTGGATCAAACCTCAGCACCTCAAACACATTTCCTCTGAATTACCACTGGTCAGGAAAGAACTGCTCTATCTCCATGTCCCAGCCCAGAACTAAGGCACCACACTAAGAGAAACACATTCAAAGTGCCAAGAGAAACCCAGGCTCTAAACCCCATTGGAATTCAGCAGGAACCAGGAATCCGACTTTCCTCTTTGGCAAAAAACTCCCCTACTGGACTTGGCCAAGGTCATGAGGGAGCTCAGAGCAGACAGAACACAGGTGGGATCCCACGTCCTTTGCCAAGACATGAGCCAGTGTTCCAGCCCAGGTTCCCCCCGGAGCTGGGACAAACCTTCTCCACGTGCAGCGCCAGCTTGACACCGTTGTGCAGCCAGGACAGGGCCACCACCGGGTCCCCCTCCACCACGCTGCCCACCGTGCTCTCCCAGCTGTTGGCCAAGTGATCTGTCATGCTCCAGCACTTGATGTGTCCGTCGGCATCCGCCGAGAGCAGCCTGGAGCCTGGGACAGCAGCACTGTGTGAGAACAGGGGGAACAGCCCAACCCCCCCAGGAATTGCCCTCCATCGCTCTGGGACACAGGGACAGCAGGAGGGATCCCAGCTCACCCGACTGATCCCACTCCAGACACGTGATGACCTCAGTGTGCCCAGAGTTCACGGAATACACGTCCCAGGGGTGCTCGGTGTCGATGATATGGACCATGTGGGTGAGATCTGCAAGAACACAGAGGTGACTCCCTGTCCCTCCTCACCAGCCACTGTTTCTGAGCCCACAGACCCTCAGCTGATGTGGGGAAAGACATTAAATACTTTACATAAATGATTTTGGGCAGGATAACAACTGTGCTGGGAACTCAGTGAGGGGCCAGACACGGACGTGGAGCTGGTGCTGGTTTAGGGGAACAACCAGGGAACAACCACCCATTGGACACTGTCAGAGGTTGAGGGATGGGAGGAAAAGCAGAGCAGCGTTCCCTGCCAGGGCCAGGGCAGAGCCCCGGCCTCCCGGCCCAGAGGATCCTGGACCTGCCGGTGCTCCGGGAGCTCGCAGAGGTCCACGGGAACACGGTACCTTTCTCCTCCTCGTTGCGGAGGTCGGTGGTGAAGGCGATGAGGTTGCGGCAGGACCAGGCGCACACGAGGGGGATGGAGGGGCAGTGGTTGCTCTTGGGCTTCTTCTCCCACTCGCACACGTACGCCAGGTCCATCCCGCCGGCCGGGCCCCGGCGGGCACCGGGACGCGGGACGGGCTCGGTCCTGCCTGGGGCGACACACGGCCCGTCACACGGGCACGGCCCGCAGGGACCGACCCGCGAGAGCCGCGGGCGGGGAGGGTCCGGGGGGGACACAGGTCCCCGCGGGATCCGGGATCCCGGTCGGGTCCCGGCCCGCACCCACCGGCGCGCGCGCCTCCCGCCGCTCCCAGACCCCGCCCCGCCCCCGCGGCTGCCCCGCTCCGCGCCTCAGGCACCGCCGCGGACACCCCGGCGGGTCTTCAGAGCGGGGCGCGGCCGGGCAGCCCAACTCATGGCTCTAATTTGCATGAACGCCTACCCAGAACCCCCCGGGGCAGCGACAGCGAACAGAACCCGCGTATTTCGGGCATTCTGGAGAAATCGAAGGACAGCGAGGCGTTGAAACATTAGGAAAATCTGAACTGACTTATGAAAGCTCTCCTTTCGCAACTCACCGAGTCACCCTGTCCTAATTATTTTTAAATTCTGGACCTTTAAGTTTTGCCGCAGGCAGACTAGGGTTCGTGCTCGCTTCGGCAGCACATATACTAAAATTGGAACGATACAGAGAAGATTAGCATGGCCCCTGCGCAAGGATGACACGCAAATTCGTGAAGCGTTCCATATTTTTCGCACCTGCCCCCACCCCTTTTTTGCGGGCACTGCAAAAGGAGAACCCCCCAACCCCGCCAGCCCCCCGGCCCCGATGCAGACACTGAGGCCGCAGCGGGGGCACCGATGTTTATTGTTCGCTGAACACACCCATACCCATGCCCGGTCCTCCAGCAAAGCAGGCACCGGGGGCTCCCGGGAGTCCCCGCAGTGTCAGAGCAACCTGCAAAGACCCCCAGGGCACACCCTTCGAGCAGCTTGCAAGCACGTGTCGGGGACACAGGGGACACAGAGAGCCCCCCCAAAACTGCCCCACCTGCCCCCATGGCAGCTGTGGGCAAGCAGGGAGAGCCCCGAGGGGGGCTGCAACCCCCAACACACACACACGCACACACACACGTAAATATACATACACGTGATAAAAAACACAGGCTATATTACACTTAAAAACAGCCCCGTGGTGCAGGCAGGGCACAGGGAGCCCCCCTGGACACCTCCCCGGGCTGTGGGCGCCGGAACGCGGCAGCCCCCGGGCTCTTCCGCCGGCTCAGCGATGGCTCAGCACCCGCCGGGAGCTGTTTCACCGCAGAAAAATCTGGACCAAAACCACCCCACGAGCGTCAGCGCCAGAGGGGGTTGGCCCCGCCTGATTATTTTTAAAAACACCTGGGTTATAAATAGACACACAAACAGTTCCAGGAGGGCAGCGCGGGGAGCGGGGCGGGCGAGAGGCACCTGCTCCGCACCCACAGCGGTACCGGGCAGGGCTGCCCTGCCCACACCAGCCCCGGGGGCACAGCCACGAGTCCCCGGCTCTGCCCCTCCTGCAGCAGGGAAGGGCCAAGGGTCCCCGGGGCTGGGGGAGGCCCGAAGGAGGGGCAGGGCGGCCCTCGGGGCATCAGCTCAGCTGCCCCAGGTAGTCTGAGAGCAGCAGCTCGGGGGGCAGGAACACGCGGTGTTTGTTGCTCACTTTCATCTGACGTTTCCCTTCGATGTCCGAACCTGGGGGGTGGGAGGGAGCAGTCAGCACACCCCTGTCCCCCAGACACGGCATTCCCAGCCCAGCCACCTCCCTCCACTCCTCCCCCTGGCGCTCATGGCCTCCCCTGTGCTCTGTGACCCCCCAGCCTCAGCCGCCTCCACGTGTCCCTGCCAGCACCGTGGGCTCACTCCCCATCATCAGTGCTCTCACGCTGTTTTCCACAAGCAGCTCTGCAGGGATGGGGCCTGGTGTCTCTGTCTCCTCCCCTACCTTGGCAACAAAACCTCTTGGGAGGCCCAGGCTCTCTAGGAGGAGGCAGCAGCCACAGGAGAGAGAGCCCTGCAAGCAGCCTCTCACTTTGGGCCACCCAAATCCCCCCGCAGAGCAGGGCCTGGCCACCCCCTCAGGTGCTCCCAGCACTGGTGGCCACAGCCAGGGCTGCCCAGGGAGCTCTGGGCAGCAGGGGTGGAGCACGGGGTTATCTGTGAGCCCCAGCCCGAGGTGGGGCCGGGAGGAAAAGGCTGAGCTGGAGAGGAGAGATAGTGATGGAGGAAAGGGGAAAACAAAAACAAAATCAAAACCAAAAACAAGCAGACACAAGACTTACTGGCAGAGACGAGATCCATGTACTGGCAGAGCGCGTGGAGCAGGAGCCGCTCGAAGCTGGGGGAAATTGGGATGGGATTAGAGCTAACACGCCTCTGAACAGTGTCCCACACGCTGCCCTGCCCTCAGTGCTCCCAGGGACCCACGGAGCAGATGGGGAGCACAAAGTGCCACGAGCTCCTGCACGGGAATCCCTGAGGGCATCCCTCCCCCAGGGCTCCATGGGGACCAGGCCAGGTGGGGTGTCCCCAGATGGAGACCTGAGCCTGGCTGAGGGGAGACCAAGGAGTGCTGTCTGTCCCAGAGCCCCTCAGCAGACTGGGCAGCCCCAGGACACAGTGAACCCCAGAGCTCAGGACCCCGAGCTGAGGAAATACCTGTTGTCCATCAGCGCTGTGTAGACCGAGTGGGGAGTGACAGAGAAGAAGGCCAGCAGCTCCTCCTCCAGCCCTTCCAGCGTCCCCTGTAAGGAGAGGCAGGGGCTCAGCAAGGCCCCAGCACTATGGGGCCTCCAACTCCCCAGGAGCTACTGCCAGCAGCTCCCAGGCAATAATCTGGATGGGAGACAGTGGGGAGGCACTGGAACAGGAGACATCTCAACTCTCCAGCCCCTGAGGCAGGGAAGGATCTGGCCCCTGCCAACTCCACAGTGTGTGTGCCAAGGGCTGGCACTGTCCCTTGTGTTCAGAGCAGCCAGGGGAGCCTCGTGCCTCCTGACACAGGGCAGTGCTCTGCAGCTCTGCGGAGCACCGTGACCCTGGAGACGAGCAGCAGGCACGTCTCATTTGAGGACAAACAAGCAAAAGCCAGCGGGCAGGAGGAGCCCAGGTTGGGTTCAGAGGCTCTAATTAGCACCAGGAAAACAAACAGAGCAGCAAAACAGCCCCACTGAGCAGAGTGAGCGGGGAGCCAGCACCCCAGGGCCGGCAGAGGCAGTGCCTGGGCAGGCAGCGCAGGGAGCGCGTGGCAGCCCAGCTCCTGAGCCCACACTCACTTCTCCCCATCCTGCTCAGCAGCTTGTGCACTTTTACCCCTTTCAAAATGCATTGGAGTTTTCCCAAATAACCTTGTGTGGGCCACTGTGAAGACCCCAAATGCTCTACTGCTTTCCCCATGCGCAAACACGCCAGGTTCACCCGTCACCTGCTGCTTATTGCACAGAGACTGGATAACAGCCACTGGAAAAGGTCCTGTAACTGCCAGAAAAATCTGAACAGAGCCAGGAAAACCCATCTGCAACCAGCCACCACCGCAGGGTCACACAAGGACTGGAGCACGTTCCCAGGAGCTGCTCTGAAATTCGGCACCGCCCCGGCTCAGTGCCCACACACAAGGTCAGGGCACAGCCCTGGGGACACGGCTGTGGAGGGAGCCCCGCCTGCCCCCCCTGGGACCCCTGCCTGCACCCCCCGGGACCCCTGCCTGCCCCCCTGGGACCCCTGCTTACCATGGGGATCCGGCCCCGCTTCAGGGTGGCGCGCAGGCGGCGGCTGATGCGCTGGAAACACTCCTGGGGCGTGTAGGCCGGGAGCTCTGGAGTGACAGAGAGAAGGGAAAAGGGACTGGGACACAGGTCACAGCCCCAGAGCCTGCGGGACGGCTCTGGCTGCAAAGTGTCACCTCTCAGGAGGACCCAGTGGCTGGGCACCCCCTTCTCTCATGGGTCACAGTCACCCCCAGAGCAGCAATGCCTTCCCCAGGTGGGAGCGTTTGGGAGTGTGGGGATTTGGGGCTGTGCCATCAGGGGACAGCTGCTGTGCCCATCGCCCCAGCCACTCCTGGCTCCCACAAACCCTCCCGGGTCCATGGCGGGTCTGCAGCCATTAATCCCCCAATGCTACACTCAGGAGGTGGGATCAGGCCTCCCCCCACCCTACCATAAACACATGGTGCAGCCCTTGGGGAAGGTCACCCTTCCCAAAATGTACACAAGGAAGGAAAGGGAGGGGCTGTTCCCACCCAGCGTCCCCTCCCAGCACCTTTCCACTTGTCTTCATTCTTGACAGGCAGCTTCCTCCTGTGCTTCTTCCTGGTCTCCTCCTCCAGGTAGAGCAGGACCCGCTCCTGCTCTTCTCCCGACCGGTTCATGAAGTCGTTCCAGATCTGACAACAGAAGCCACCACAGGCACAACTCGCTATGAGAGGATCTGCCTGGAGATTCCCCACCCCAGGACCTCATTGCCCTCTGGCACGCACAGCAGCAGCCGGGCACCAGGCCCACAGACGCCAGCCCTGACACCAGACCAGGCAGAACCTGGGGTGCACCAGCTCAGGCAGGGGAGGCAGAGGGTTCCTCAGGAGTGAGGTACAGGCACCACGTGCCATGCCAGGGCCCTCCCAGTGAGCCCCAGGCCGGGGGGCGGCTGAGCCCACCTCCACATAGGTCTCGTTGTTACAGGCCTCGGTGAAGATGCTGGGGGTGGCAGAGTGGTCGAGCTCTCCCTCGTCGCTCCCACAGTCGTCCCGCTCCAGAAGTGTCATCAGGTAGCGAGCTGGGGGCAAGAGCAAAGCCTGAGAGTGGAAACAGCACCTCCAGAGAAGCCCCATGCCCCCAGGACACCCCTGCCTGCTACACAGTTTAGGGGAGGTTGCCACCTGCCCTGGGGAAGAAATCGTGCCCCAGCCCTTACTGTTCTCCAGCCTCTGGAGGCTCTTGCGGCCCTTGGCCCTCGGGATGAGGTCGGAGTTGCGGATGGCCTTGTTGATATAATACTGCTTCCGCTTGGACGGGGAGAACCGCTTGGACGGGGAGTCCTCCAGCGGGGGCAGGCAGTCCTCGATCCTCCTGTGGGGACAC